GCAAAGGCCGTTGGTCACCCCCTGGGCGGCGAACATCATGACGAGGAGCTCCACCCCGCTCACCCCTCCGCCTACTCCTTCTCCTCCCCGAGAGGGATCGTTGAGTACGGCTGTCCGCCTAGCTTCCAACTTCTCTGAAGGTAAGCTTTCCAAACTTCTCAAATGTTTTTTGTTGTAGTTGTTCGTAATGAATTAGGTAATGACACCTCCCTGTCTGCATTACCTAAAAGCTTACTTTTAAATCGAACTTTTTTATTTCACTGAATTTAAAGTTTATCCATAATTCAGTTTTGAGAAACAATACATGAGCCAAAAGGTATTAACTCTGAGTGCATTCTCTTTTTACTGAGAGCAGAATTTTATGATCAAGATCGCTCGTCCATTGTTATGTACAATAGTGTAACAACATTTTTCTTGGCAGCTTTGTCAGTCTACTCTATGTTATGTTGATCAACTGTGTCTTGAACAGATTCTTATAATTGCATACATACCTAGTACATTATTCATTAAAATGTTAGGTGATTGACGTGTAAGCTTTCTGTCAAAGCAATGAGAAAATAACAATTACTGGTAAAAAAAATGAAAGTGGTACACACATTTGAAGTATAGTAATAGTTGCGTAGTAAATTAAACTAACTCATTTCTTTAGTTAAACATCATACATTTGCAGAATAATTTTCAATTTTAATTGTCTTTTCTACTTGTGTAAAATTTCACCCACAGCTAATCCCATTTGAGTCAGCAATGTGGTCATAGTTTTGTACGAGTTCAGTTCTAGCACCATTCACGTTAGAAATTAACCTTTTGAGCGGACTATATTTGTGATACGATTTAATTGACTTGTACTTATTCATATAGTTATGCAGAACAACTCGATATTTGTGTTTTTAAGGGGGCAGTAGCGACTCGAAATGAATTTAATCAAAAACGCTGTTGACGCATTAATCAAAAATGGCCAATTTTCATCGTAGAAATTTTATCGAGGTTCATTCTGAAGAGAAACAGATACTGATGCAGGAAAACCAAACGGCATCCCGATCCGTCAAGTAGTGTGGCTGAAATCATGCGCGCAAGCCAAGTAAAAAACAAGTCGTCTTGCGCGCACGATTTCACCCACACTTCTTAACGAATCAGGATGCCGTTTGGTTTTTCTGAATCAGTATCTGTTGGTCCAAAAAATGAACCACAATGAAAATTCTGCTATGAAAATTGGCCTATTTTGGTTAACGCGTCGACAGCAATTTTGAGAATTCCAATCCGAGTCGCTACTGCCCCCTTAAATGTGAATGCTTTAAAACCAAGCTAATCATTACTATCTTTTTCTTCCCCAGGTTGGATAAGCCAGGACACTGAGCCCACTGTACCTCTCTGGCGGCGCCCCAATGGTGCCGGTCCAGGTGACAAAATAAGTTTAGCAAGTTCATGGCGAGCAAAGAAAATGGAGAATCCAACGACTGCTCCCGAGGCCAACAAATCCAACGTGAATGTGAATTGTGTATGCTCTGGGAGTTGTGTAATACTAACTTACAAACAGTTTGGCACTTTGCGTCCGCCTCTTTCTGTTCCAAGGCGATGTTCCTTTTCCAAGCCCATGAAATAAGTATTATTTTAAATTATTTTTTAAGTACATTAATTTTTGTATTGAATTTTATACAATCTATATACAGCTGACTGTCACTGTCTTTCTATAATTTTATACCTGTAAGATCTGTTATGAAGACTTGCCTGCAAAAGGATCAATCATTCTTATTTCTGTTACAAAAAAACAAACATTGCATCATTAAGTTTCATCTGTTAATTAAATGAAATTGTCCTATAACCCACTGAGTTAATTTATTTTAAATGGTGAGCTGTGCAGCATCTCTCGTAATTTTCAGCTTCCTAAAAATTCCACAAATACTACTTTCATTTTAATTAATGATTGCCATCATTTCAATATGCAATTTGCTTTTGCGCAGTGCTGCAGACCTAATAAGCGTCCAAGGCAAAATTATCTCCCTTCGAGCACACATGGTGACCGCCCCCGCACCCCCGCACCCACTGGCGGGAGGGGGGAGGGGGAGGGGACAACAGGGCATAGCGCAGGGCTGGCGTGGGGCGAAAGGGAATCCAATTAGTGGGCGGAACTAGTCGCACCCCGAAACAGCTACCCATTGAAAACAATCGATGAAACATGCCTTCGTGTCTTCTCCACATGTAGAATTTCCCACATGATGCCACCTGCCACCTATCTGCTTGTGTCTTTTGCCCCTCTGCCCATATTCGCTAGTCTCTCACGCCACATCGACATGGCAAGCGACATACTCGCGCAAGGTAGCAGGTTCAACGCCTACTTGGGGCATGTTCATTTCCAACGGGTCAAGCGAACTCCACTTCGTCGGGTTGGTAGCTACTTTTAACTTTGTATTCTTCTTGCAAATCTTTTGTTGTTTTGTTTAATTACTTTGAAAAGAGCAGAGCACATCAGTTTGTTTCTACATCGTCTTTTCCCCATAGGGACTGTTCGTTCAGTACCTATTTCGTAATATCTTGGCGTTTTCGACAACAACCTCTCTAAGTAAGGTTACGCAAACTCATTCTTCAATTTCCTGTTGGGTTAGGAAGTATGTAAGACTAGCGATGAGGGCAGTCTGAGCAATGATTTTCGGCCGATCTAATCAACTACGTAAAGAATCCTGGCGGTTGAAGACATTACATATGTATGCATGCAACATGGTTTATCCAGCATTTCGGTTGCTAAGGGAAATTATTTGCGAGTGACGATTGCCCCCTTGTAATGTTGTCTAGTATTTTTAGGTTACGACGTCGTGCGGTCGACCTCATAATGCAACGAGCAACAAGCCGGTGACGGGGCACCCGATCCCCGACCCTCTCAGCCTCAGCTCACTCCACTCAGCGTGCGAGGTAGGCAACCCAACCTCCTCCTGTGTATTGTGCTTGCTAACCAACCAACGAGTGTCGTGGAGGAAAAACATGGGGGCGTAGTGACGCGCACTCGTAGGTGTAGTTGTCATAGAATGTAGGCTTTTACTGGCTCGAGTTTTGTTTTCCTTTCACACCCCGTGCTCCCCGAGACACTGAATCGTGGATTGCAGTGTTCTTCCGAGGAGACACGGTGGTGGTGTGACGACGCGGCGGGAGGTTTTTCGCCGCTGACAACCTCGAGAACTATTAAGAGAAGCAGCCCGGGAGCTCCTAGTAAAGTGGAAACGTTGCCGAGAGGAGTTCCCGCAGAGCGTTCTCCAATATCGCTCTCTGCAACGTGGTTCACTATTTTGTTGCTCCCATTCGACGTACCGGGTGTATCATAGAAGACGCAGGCGCGGGCGGGTTTGCCTACCCAAGGGGCTATGGCGCCTTACGGGCAGATCGGGTAGGCAAACCCGCCCGCACCTGCGTCTTCTATGATACACCCGGTACCTATACATAGTCGAAGCCGCGCGTTGGTCGCTGGAATTTTTTTCGTCCTTCTTCTGCCCGCTCATCCTCTCTGTGCTCTTTTCTTTCTCCGTATTTCTCGCACTCGCAGAGATTCCCACAGCTTTGCGACGGAATGCAAAAAGGGACGGGGCTGCCGCGTATTGCGGTGCCGGCGTCGCCTGCGAGGCGGAGACAAAGGCTGCCGGGCTCTGGAATGTAGAAATGGAAATAGCGTACGGTCCCCCCCCCCCCCGCGGCGCCCCTTAGCTCTGTTACAGCGTGGCGACAAGTGCATCGCAGCTCTGCTATCGGTAGGCGAGAGAGCAGGGGCTCGGCGGACCCGGTTCTCCTAATATTCGCCAGCGTTGATGATATTCTACCAGAATAAAAGGGAGGGAGAGAGGGACGGAGCGAAGAGTAGGAGGACGGGGTGGGTCCAATATGTGTCGTCCGATTGTGGGTCCACTCGGATGCCGAAGGTCCGCCTCTCTTCTCCCAGCCGGCCGGAGAATGAGTTCTCCGACTGCACCAAGTGCAGCACGACGTCAGTACTGCTCGGGGTGCAAGTCCTCTCCCCGCCCCCTGCACTCTGGAGGTTGCGGTGACTTAAGGGAGGAGATGAGGCAGTAGTGGGGGGGGGGGGGAGGGGGCAGGGCAGGGAAGTGGGCGGAGATACTGAGCCGAGGGCCAGAGAGAGAGGCTGGATGGGCCCACCATGCACCGAGAGATACGTCCGATAGCATGACGGATGTATCCCCATTTGCCAAACCGCCTTATCTGTGCCTGCCTGCATGCACGGCTCGTCGCTCCTCCCCAGAGCCCCTGCCCCTGCCCCTGCCCTGCCAGCCCCTCCCAGCCCTGCACACTGGCCTCTCTGGCCTGGCCCGTGGGGAACGATCTCCGCTTTCATTAAAAGCGACCAGGTCAGCAGTATACTCTAGGAGAGCTGCTGGCCTTTCGATCTGATACTAAAAGGATGAGGGAATCCCCGTTCAAACGGCCTCGTGAGCTTATTCCGAAATAAGTTATTGTACTTGGCTCCAATAATGCCAGTTTTTTTCCAGTAAAATGATCTTGGAATAAGCCTTACAAATGTTTTTTTGTTGACAAAGTCGAGGGCAGACTGGACAATAAGGTGTGTGAATGTCACTTTTTTTGGAGGTGTGCGAATTCCCG